AAAAAGAAAGAAAGAAAAAGCTTAAAGCTACTTAGTGAAGAAGGCAATGTCTAGAATTATCTTGGACAAATGCCAGTCTCTGGGGGACAATACTAGTTAGAGGGATGAGATTGGCCACTTTGGAGAAACAGAATGCTGAATTAGATGGACCTTCAGTCTGATCCAGCAATGCTACTCTTGATGTTTTTGTGTTGCCTTTCACAGAAATCATTGAGTCTTCATCCCCAATCATAATAAAGGCTACATAGATTCATACTTTGTTACCCTTGCCTCCCACCCACCTCACTTACTTGTGTCCTCATCCTCCTGGCCTATGTCTAAATTTGAAATGTATGTGCTTCACACTAGGGGACCACCTTTTACTTACATTATTCTGCAGAACAATAAAGGTATATGAATGAAATGTCAACAGTGACAGGGCCTACAGACCTTCTGAGCTCTAACATGGTGTTGCTCAGCGATGAAGATCATAAGCTATGATAGAGGCACCCCTAGTTTAAAACCCCAGTTCAACCATGAACTCACAACATACCTTTATGTCTACAAAAGGTGAAGAGCGAGGTAAACCTCAAACAAGTGCCAAGAGGAGGAAATAATGAATTGCCCACAGCATTCCAATTAAAACTTTATCAGGGTAATAACTACAAAATGGAAGATGTTATCAAAACACCTTGAGCAACTCTGTAAATTCTTCTCTGTTACTCTCCTCTCTTTGCTCCTTTGTTAATTCAGTCATAATTGTCTCCTGTGCTTTACAGAAGTTGCTTTGTCTCCTCAGCCCTTTCCATGCCTTTATTTCCATGTGAGGCAATTGTGGGTTGACTGGGAAGCAGCCCCACCTGCAACTTCACATCCACTTCCTGGAACAGTCACACACCGTCAGCCGTCGTCTGTATGAAACACACCACACGTAAGCTTCTGCTGTATGTAAGAGCATCACACATTCAGGATACCTGCACAATCGGGTGACCCAATTGTGTAGAGCCCCTACTGTATGTGTCAGCAGGGATTTGTGGCTTGAGGTTTTTATTACAGAGAAGCAAGTGTGATGTTGGGAGCAGGGCTAAATGTGCAGTCTCACTTTTCAGTCAAGACACAATTGCCCTACACCAGCCTTTCTCAAACTTGGGTCCACATATGTTAGGCCCGCATCATCCCTGACCTCTAGTCCTGGTAGCTAGGGATTATGGGAGTTCTAGGTTCCAGGGAACCAGGCAGAGGGCCTTCTCAGTAGTGGCGCCCACCCTGTGGAATGCCCTCCCATCATATGTCAAGGAAATAAACAACTATCTGACTTTTAGACGACATCTGAAGGCAGTCCTGTTTAGGGGAGTTTTTAATGTCTGATGTTTTATCGTGTTTTTAATATACTGTTGGGAGCCACCCAGAGTGGCTGGGGAAACCCAACCAGATGGGCAGGGTATGTATAAACAAACAAACAAACAAATAAAATTATCTAGTCCAACAACATCTGGGCACCCAACACACAAGTAACACATGAAGGGGTTTTTAATTTTCAACCAGCTTTCCCACCCATCAAATACATGGGGGCAATAATACCAGCCTACCTCAGAAGGTGTTAGAAGGATAATTGAGTTAATGTATGTGATGCACTTTGAGCAAGTGGGGCAAGGCCTGCAATCTGAGAAGCATGCACTGGTAGAACTTGGAATGCCTAGAAGATTCTGGTGCTCAGCAGGACAATGGACACCTCCTTTCCTATCAAGCTACGATGCACCATTCCCTGGGGTAGCTCAGATGGTACAGCAGGAGACTCTTATCCTCAGGGTTGTGAGTTTGAGCCCCACATTAGGCAAAAGATTCCTGAATTGCAGGGGGTTGAACTAGATGACCCTCACGGTACCTTCCAACTTTACAGTTCTATAGTTCCATGATTCTCAGGGCCCCAACAGGTGTGTTGGGAAGGACTTTCACCCAACCCCAGAAAAATAGGAGTAGCAGACGGGCAGCCACCCAAGCTGTTTGGCTGGGTACAGAAGGGGGTTTCCCTACTCACCAAGTCCAAATCCCCTTCCTCCACTGTCACACTTTCCCCCATTTGACTTTGCTGCTAGTTCTCACAGGCAAAATGCAAATCTCTGTCAACATTCGGATGAAAACTAAAGAAGAATGTGCCGCATGTGCAGTTCAGCTTATCTGCCTCGAGAGAAATGTATTTTAGCACAGATAAAAGTGTCGCTGAAAATATTCTAAGAAAACCGAGACTGATCACCAGACAGATTATGCCGAGGATAAGACTAAACACAGTCTGTCAGCTTCTGTGCAGGTATCTGGAGCCAGATCCCAAGGGAAGGTTCCAAGTCTTTGGTTGCTGTTGTTTTTTAATGAGATAAAATTATGGTGAAGATTATCTCTCTTTTGCATAGCTGCAGCCCAGTTTCCTGAACTGCAGGAGGAAGTGAACCATGAAATTTTCGCATCACTAGAAATGAAGCACAGTTATATGTGCACCCCTGTCCTCTTCTACACTTTGGCATTTGTGAGCTCGGTGCAACAAGACCAGCACCAGGTGCTGGAGTTGCCAGGAGGCTGGGGAAGAGCACTCACCATCTTTGCCCTCCCCAGCACTCACCTTTACCTGAGGGTAGTTGAGAGAGCCAACTGTAAATCATCTAGCCTGGTGAGAAGACCTACCCAACTCCCTCTGCACTGTATGACTTTCATTTTGCTCTCTATTTATATATTAAACTCAGATTATATCCTGGTAATATTGGTTTATTCTATATTCATTGATTTGGCTGTATTTGAATTTATTGCTGTTTTGTATACTGTACTGGTCTCTCTCTCTCTCTCTCTCCCCCCCCTCCCTCCCTTCCTCCCTCACACACACACACATAGACATTTTTCATTTTGATAACTGGATGTTAGTTGCAAATCACTTTGGGCACAGCTCACTGTGAAAAAGCAGAATACAGTCATACCTCATGTTACGTTTGCTTCATGTTACGTTTTTTCAGGTTGTGTCCTGAGGCGACCCGGAAGTACTGGAAAGGGTTACTTCCAGGTTTCGCTGCTCGCGCATGCGCAGAAGTGCTAAATTGTGCTTCATGCATGCGCACAAGCACAAAATGGTGCTGCGCAGATACGGCGCTTCAGGTTGTGGGCTTTTCATGTTGCAAACAGGCCTCCGGAATGGATCCCGTTTGCAACCAGAGGTACGACTGTGTAAAAAAACCAAACTAATGACTTGTTGAGATAGTGGATTATTGGGCCATACCCGGTGGGGATATCATTTCTGAATGTTCTCCTTTGCAAAACAACAACAACAACAACAACATGTAGTAAACCAGAAATCCAGTAAAAAGGTTTTTTGTAGCCCTGTCCAGGGCTTTTAAAAGATAATATGGGTCAACGTTTGAGAGAATGACACCCCATCTGAAGTCTAAAATAGTATAGTCCAGAATCTCATCACCTCTGTCTCCCTACCACCTCATCCGGCATAATGGGTACAGTCATAAATACAAATAACAAACTCATTCTCAGAGTGCTGATCTGTATAAGGTAAAAAGGGGACCATCCATGCACAAGTGCGGGGGATCAGCTGAGGAACCCCAACTTTTTCAGGTTTAGAGTGGGAGTGAGGGGGGTGAGAACCAAAAACAGCCAAATCACCACTGAACATACTCAATGCTCAGTCAATGCTGATTGGCTGATGTGGGAGAACACAAACACAGTAGGATGGAAGAGGGCATGGCTGGTTGGAATCTTGAACAAGAGAACTTCCCGATGCAACATTTTGTTGCAAGTTTCCATTGTGGCCCTTATTTCTGACTGCCCAAACCTCTGTCAGTGATATTAGTGATGGAAGAATAGTTGAGCAGATGAATCAGAACTATTTCATATCACAATCAAAAAAATTCCTACATGGGTCAAGGTGGAAAATACACACACCTTTGTGTGTGAATATCATTCCACTGTTTACTGTGCTACCTGGACCTGTTAGGAAGATGCTGCTTCCAGGAAGGTGTACAGGTGGCAAAATAAGCACTCCTCACATACCACTGTCCCATATCATGTAGGAAAAATGTGTGCGATGCAGTCTGCAAATACAGGCCCTGACAGTTTCAAAACTGGAAGAGGACCCTCTGTTAAAAACACCCTTCTTTGGTTTTAAACAAATTCCCTTGAAAAGTATGATTTCCTGGAACACGTGAAATTCTAAAGAGTTTTTTCTTTCATTAAAAAAAGTCACTTCCTTTATTGATCTGGACAAGTGAGGAAGTTTGGCATAATTGAAAAGTTTAAATATTTAGATTGAACCAAAATGAACAGACAAGAACGGTTGCAAGAGTGTTGTCAGTGACCTATATTCGACCACACAAAAAAACAAAGCGACAGAAAAACAGAGAGTGGGGGGAGAAGGGGGAGGAATTACTCCAAGGCTGTGTTCGAAATTCATTCATTCACATTAGTGATACAGTCGACATCTAAATTAATTGGATCAGAACGCTCAGGCGGATTCATTAACCTGGAAATCAGATCAAAGTCTGCACGCGAAATTAAACAATACTCTTCGGAAAGGGAGCCCGAAGAGACTCTCCTACCCAGCTGATCTTTTCGTGTGTGCAGAGCTAAGGAGTGCTAGGAAAGGCAATAATGATTCTAGGCTGCGCAGCGGGGGTATCCAAGAAGTGAAAATGCAAGAATACTCCTAGGGAGTCCGGCGCCTGTTAAACCTGTTGCGCGTTACGCTGCTCTGAAAATTAGCACCGCGCAAAAAACATCTGGGGACATAAAGCGAAGCAAATGCAAGAGAAGGCGCCAAAACAGCAGATAAATAGATCAATCGCGTAAGCAAATTAAGGATCCATCTCAACAGCATAACTCCAGCCTGTCGCCATCGCCGGATAAAGAAACTTGTGTCAGGTGTGGAGGTGGTGGGGAGAGGTTAGATGTGCAGGTTGGGGATCCGACATAACAAGCAGTACTTCATATTTTATTGGTCAACCAAATACAGTTTATCGCCAAGTAGTACTTACAGCCAGGTTGTGTTTGCAGCAAGCAGCAAACGTGAGGAGGAAAGACTGTTGGGTCCGGATCCTGACAAGTGCAGCGCGGCTCCTTCACAGCTCAGTCAGATTCACCAGCCTCCCTCCACCACCACGCCAGAAAGAGGCGCCTAACAGAGGACGGAAATTAGGAACCCGGAGCTTGCCTTTCGAAGAACTCGCCTCCTGGGAAGAAGGGGCAGCGGGGCAGCCGAGCCCTGCCTTGCGAAGAGCCCGCCAATCCCGAGCGCCTCCTCCCACGACCCCGCCCCCTGAGGTCGCTTTCGGATCCTTCCCAGCGCGGCTGCTTGTAAACAGTGCGAGAGAGACGCTTTGTCGCCTTCTCAATAGAAGCCCACGTGGAGAGGCCGGGCGCCGAGCGCGTAGGAGGAACCCGGCGGGCGGCGGGGGCGGCGGAAACGGAGCAGCCGCCCATTTCCCATCGCTGCGATGCGATTGGCCGAGCCAGGAGACGCCCTTTTCACTGATCGGTGGCACACTCAGGTAGTGATCCTTCACTAGGGCGGCGCCCCCATAGCTATCCCACTTAATATCCAAGTTGGTGACCATCATTGCCTCTTATGGGAGCAAATGCCATAGTTTAACCACAGCGACTTTGTTAAGATACATTATTTTGCCTACCCTGAATCTTCCAACATTGAGCGCCAGTGGATAACCATGAGTTATAGTAGAGGGAGAAAAACTCTGCCCAGTCTGCTTTCTCCCGTGCTTTACACCTCTTAAAAAGGTAAAGGTACCCCTGCCCGTACGGGCCAGTCTTGACAGACTCTAGGGTTGTGCGCCCATCTCACTCAAGAGGCCGGGGGCCAGCGCTGTCCGGAGACACTTCCGGGTCACGTGGCCAGCTCTTACTCACTTACACCTCTTACTCACCTATTATTGAAACCAAAAAGCCTCAAATGTTGTAACTTTGCCTCCTGGTGCTTCAAGACAAGTGGTCATGGATAATGGGAGGTGTAGTCCAAAAACAACTGGAGACCAAAGTTTGGGAAACTTTGCTATACTTCTTCCAAGCACTGAAACGTTTTGCTTGATGCAATGTTATATAACCTCCTTGCACAGGAATCATAATGAATGCTCAGTAGATAGCCAATGTCATCTAGGCTGCCTCTATAATCTTTGTGCCAACGTATCAGCTCGAGGAACAGGTCGTATGGCAGTGGCCTAAGAATTTGTTGTGATATTGCTTGCAGAAAGTTTTTGGGGAGGCCTTATGGCATCCCATCAATCAATTGTTAATCTGGAATTGGTGCTCTTACACAATAAACCTGCTAGACACGGAACATCGACATATGACGGGCAGTGGACAGTACTTTTCCAAACCAGACAAACTGGGAATTGGTAGCATGAAACACTTTGGGAGATGCAATAGATCTTGGCTTTCCTGGATTATATGTGATGAAAAAGAGTTTGTAACATGAGCCTGAAATGCTATAAATTCAAGGAGTCACACAATGCTCATCTGTAATTTATACCTGTTTAGATCTGGTGGACCTCAGTCATTTTCTTCCAAAGGCTCCTTTTCTACATTTACTGTGTTTAGCAACCAGAGGATATAATTTATTTCCTGTGGCATCCAGGAATTTCATAAATGAATCATGTGTTAATCTAACCACACCTTGGGGAAGAGGTGTGGTCTAGCTTGCTATAGCGACAACTGTCTTAGTAGGAGATCTGTATTGTAATATATGGGCTCTTAGGAACGCGGGTGGTGCTTTGGTCTAAACCACCAAGCCTCTTGGGCTTGCCAATCATAAGGATGGCAGTTCTAATCCACGCGACGAAACGCCGGCTCCCTCAGTGGAATTCAATTGGACTTAACCACCCAGGAGTCCTTTACCTTTACCTTTTACATATGCTCTCTTAGCAATGGACACCAATTTTTCTATGGCTTGCCATTTCTTCAGCTGTATATTAGAGATGACTACATCTCAAGTGGAAGATGTTATTATTACAGGTGTCATTCAAGGGCTAGCCATTGCGAAATTGCAATTAAAACAAACTGCAATTAAAGCACTGATGAAAAAAGTCATCATATTGAACAGTGTTGCCAGTTAGCCTGAATTCATAGGCAATATTGGTCTTCTATACTTTTGAAAAACATGGCCACTATTGCCTATGGAGTCATACCATGAATTATAACCAAATTTCAACAAGTGTGATTTATCTTGGAATCATGCCCTACAGACATCCAGCATGGTTATGGTCTTGAACAGCTCCCATTCATTTCAACAGAGCTTATGCAGGAGTACATCCTAGTGGATGGTGCTGTTTGGGTCCGATCTGTCTGCCTCCCATTTTGTGGTGCTCCAAATCTACTTCATCTCATGTGATGATAAGTGAGATTAAAGAAGTATATATTGTATTTGTATTATTATTTAGAGAAGTACATTATCATCATCAGATTCAGAGAAAATGTTTACATTTTACATCTTTTTGGCATTGAAAGACAATGGAGCGGGCCTCCGGGGGTGAAATCTAACTGTTGCACTAGCAGCACCAAAGTGACCTCCTGGGGCACAAGCCTGGGCATTGTGTATGGAGGTCCTGGGCTGCCCAGACGCCTCGCTGGTGTGGACCAAAGGGAAGCAGAGCAATATGTTTGGCACCAGCTTGGCTGCAGGAGTTGCCAGAAGGAAGTGTACAAAGCACCATCCAACCGTCTTAGGGACTCCGCTCTGGATTGGTGTAGGGTTTGCTCCTTAGCCTTTTCTTCTCCCCAAGAAGAAATTGTACTTGCAGAAGAGGTTATTGGTGCAGGGGTGGAGGCAGGGTAGAGTAAGGTAATTTCAGAACAGGGGCTAAGTTTCAAAAGTTTGCGCAACATGGCACTATGCTGAAAGAGATACAAAAAGGAACCCCTGCTTCTTTTCATGCTGAATTAGCTGCACATCAGACAGATGGTGGCAAGCACAGCTCTATAGCTCTGGATATTAAAAGCAGACACACATTAAAAACCCATGACTTCCCCCCAAGAATCCTGGGCACTGTAGTTTGTTAAGGATGCTGGAAATGGTAGCTCGGGGGGGGGGGAATTACAGATCTCAGGATTTGGGGGGGGGGAGTCCTATGCTTTGAATATGTGCTGAATATGCTTTAAATCAGGCTTTCTCAAACTCGGTCCTCCAGATGTTTTTTGGCCTACAACTCCCATGATTCCTAGCTAGCAGGACCAGTCATCAGGGATGATGGGAATTGTAGTCTCAAAACATCTGGAGGGCCGGGTTTGAGGAAGCCTGCTTTAAATGTATAATGTGAATCTTCATCAGAAGTGGTACGCCTCTGAATGCCTGTTGCTGAGGATCACATGCAGGAGCAGGGGCGCCGACTTATAAAAAATATTGGGGGGGCCCATACCGGGGTCCATACTGGCGGCAGGATGGCAGTGGTGCTTTTGCATGCAAGAACCGGCCTGCCCTCCCCAGGCTTCGCGCCGGGAGGCGGCCACCCCTCCTACCAACGTCACCTTAGCCGAACCCAGAAAAAAAGCCCCGCTCCGGCGGCGGGAACTCCCGTCCCCTCCATTCTCCCCTCACCCCGGTCCTCGCCGGCGACGAATACGCCGTTCCTCGGCCCCGCGGCTCCATTCCTTTCTAAAGTCCCGCCGCTGGGGGTCTTCCTCTGACTGACCGACCTGCCCGCCCCTTCTCAGGAGCTCCCGGTCACTTTGGGAGGCGCGCGCCGGAGTCCCCTGCGCGTTTTTGGCAAGGTGCCTAATAATTTTCTTAAATTATTGGGGGGCAGAGCCCCCCAAACGAATTTTTGAGGGGGCTTGGGCCCCCTCAGGCCCCATGGAGTCGGCGCCTATGTCAGCAGGAGAGTGCTACAGTGGTACCTTGGGTTAAGAACTTAATTTGTTCTGGAGGTCCGTTCTTAACCTGAAACTGTTCTTAACTTGAGGTACCACTTTAGCTAATGGGGCCTCCTGCTGCTGCTGCGCCGCCAGAGCACGATTTCTGTTCTCATCCTGAAGCAAAGTTCTTAAACTGAGGTACTATTTCTGAGTTAGCGGAGTCTGTAGCCTGAAGCGTCTGTAACCCGAGGTACCACTGTACTGCTCTCATGGCCTGCTTGTGGGTTTCCCATAGGCATCTGGTTGGCACTGTGAGAACAGAACAGTGGCCTAGGTGGGATTTTAGTCTGATACAGCAGGGCTGTCCTTAAAAAACAAGCCCTGTGCCCATTGCTGTAAATTACTCCTTTGCACCAGGGAAGGCCTCCCACCCTCACTGTCTACATACCCTCCAACATTTATCTAATAAAAACAGGGGTGTCCCATTCCATAATTCTACTGTTTATACCCCACACATCTTACTGGGTTGCCCCAGCCACCCTGAGCAGTTTCCAACATATATAAAAACATAACAAAACATTAAACATTAAAACAAAACTTCCTCATACAGGATTGCCTTCGGATGGCTCGGGGATCAGAAAACTCCATACCCTCCAACATTTATCCCATGAAAATAGGGACGTCCTAAGGAAAAGTGGGACATTCTGGGATCAAATCAGATGGCTTCTCTAATTCAGGGATGTCTCTGGAAAATAGGGACACTTGGAGGGTCTGTGTCTACCGACCATAGCTGTTTGAAGATACATATAAAGTTTTTGTTTGTAACATAGAACTATTCCTGGTGACGGCAGACTTTTCCCTTGATGGTGTCATAGCCCATAAAATAGCGTCTTAACTATAATCTTTTGCCAACTGCTAACACTTATTCAGTAGAAACAATGAGAATTTCCCTGCTGAGGTTTCTGAAAGCTCTGGCCTGTTCCAGCCAAGACAGGATGACTCAGAAGTAAGAAATCCGGGGCATTTGTCCTCCACAAATTTTGTAAACAGAGGACCAACAGGAGGTATGCTCTGGGAATCAATAGGAAAAAATAACTCAAAAGGAATAATAGGTCATTCATTCAAGAAACTTAATCTTGATGGTGATAGAAAAGGGCACAGACAGCACAATCCTATACATGCTTACTCAGAAGAAAGTCTCATTGCTTTCAATGGGTCTTACTCCCAGGTAAGTTTGCACAGGATAGTGTATAGCCTTAATAGCTGACATAGCTGAAAATAATTTCCCACTTAAAAATATTATTCACTGGTTATATGGACTATCATTACCGTCAAACTGCATGACGATGCTCAGAATTGGGAAAGAATTTCACCTGGTGGGATTCAGCTTTTACACAGAGTTGACCTAATGAAATTAATTTACTTGACATAGTCACATTCATTAATTTCAATGGGTCTGACCGAGGTTAATAATAAAAATAATAAGTTATCTTGGTAAGTTTAAAACAGATGAATAATTTATTCTC